GAGCTCCGAGCCGCCTCTTCCCGGGGCTGCGCCTGGGAGGAGGAGGCCGCTGCGGAGTCCTCTCGGGTCTCAGTCGTTGCCCTGTGGAGGAAACTGCGGTGAGGGCGTTGTTGCCGTCTGTGCAAAGGGGCGGGGGGGCTCCGGCCGCCGAAACGCGGTGGCGGCTTGTGCCCCCGGCCTGCCTCGGGCTTGCTCGCCTAGTGGAGTTACCGCCGGGTGTGCAGCACTCGGGAACGAAAGCAGGTCGCCTCCCGGCCCCTCCCTGGAGCTGCGGCGGAGGTGCCACCTGTTTCTGAAAGCACGAACGCTGGCTGCGCTTTCTCCGTGCAGGTGCTGAGAGTAATCGCAAGACCCCTCCTCCTCCCAGAATGGCTGGAGGACTGAGTCACTACGAGGAAATTCTCAAGTACTATGAATTACATGAAACGATTGGAACAGGTAGGCTTAATCTGCGAATGTACGCAGATGTGTATGGTCTGCCTAACCGCTTTAGTATTTACGAGTGCAGATTAACTGTTACTGCAGAGTCTATAGGCCATGTTTCAAGTGCGTATTTTGGGGGTCAGAACTTTGAAAATGTAATTGGAAGTTGATAACCGTGATCACTTCTTCATCTAATGAAGATGCTGTACACTGTGCGTGCTACATACTCCAATGTGACTGTGAGATTAGAGGCAAGAAAGCATGTAATCATGCTGAGCTTTAAACATCTCTTTTTTGAATTCTAGGGGCGTTTGCAAAGGTAAAACTTGCGCGACACCTCCTCACTGGTGAAAAAGTTGCAATAAAAATCATGGACAAACTTGCTCTAGGGGTAAGCCGAAAGATACTTAAAAGTTGCTAGCATCTTCTACTGTTCTTTTGGAGTTCTCAAGAATGCAGGGGTGCGACATGTCGAAATGCTGCCTGCTTGTCCTGTTAGCTGTTGACAGATGCTATAAACTTGAAATAATTTTAACAGAAGACCACAAATCTTGTGCCTTTTGTGGAGGGGACAACATTCTCTGGCTGTAGAATTGAGAAAATTAAAGATTACTACAGTAATTCAAACAGGATGCTAGCAGTTTTACCTCTGCCCCTCTGGGTTTTGCTTATCAATGTGCCAGAGCTGTAGGGGAGTAATGGCAGAGCCGTTGCTGGATTGAATTTGAGCAGATGAATTGCACGCTGTCATATACATGCTGTGAGATTTTGTGTTACACAGTAGTCTGATGCTTACTGTGATGTGCAGGCTGTCAAAGTAGTTGGCAATTTCATAGCTCGCTGTTGTGATCTCTTAGGATGACTTGCCTCGTGTAAAAACAGAAATTGATGCCATGAAGAACTTAAGTCACCAGCACATTTGCAAGTTGTACCATGTCATAGAGACATCCAAGAAAATATTCATGGTCTTAGAGGTAAGAAATGGTGTTGCTGCCATAGTGAAGGTTCCTGGTTTTAGCTGTAGTGGTAGATGACCACAGAGCTCAAATGAAACAATTCTTAAAAAGCTACCTCAATGATAAGTGTGTTCAAGATGCTTTAGTTTAAAAACGAAGCTAGTAATATGTTCTATCTTCTTGTAAAAGCTGCTCTTAGCTGTTTACAATAAGTGAAATGACTTTAATTCCTGCCTTGCGCCTCAGTTATTTTAAAGTAGCATTAGTAGGGTATGTGGGACCCTGGAACTCCTGTGTCCTTGTTACCTCCTGGACAATTTGTATCACCTGTGATGTTAGTGTGATGTATCCATTGCAACATGTCAGGGAAGAGTCAGACTTCTCAGCTTGTTTGGTCTGTTATGATGCTGACCTCGGGCACACTTGGGGGCACTTAGTTGCTCCTGTGATAAAGCAGAGGGAGTGGAATAGTGTCCTCTAGTTGCTGTCCAGTGCTCTCATTGTTCTTTAGATTGCATTACTGTCTTCTAAATGTATTCTCTTTTTCCTGTCTTTATGCAGTACTGTCCTGGAGGAGAGCTGTTTGATTACATCGTTTCTAAGGACCGCCTTTCAGAAGAGGAAGCTCGTGTATTTTTCCGGCAGATTGTTTCAGCAGTTGCTTATGTTCACAGTCAGGGATATGCCCACAGGGATCTCAAACCAGTAAGCCTGAATAGTAGTCGAAGAATAGCAGTTGGATTTGCATAAATAATAATGAACACCCACTTTTATTTCTCCATTAGGAGCCAGATTAAATTATGTCTTCTCCATTCTCTTGTGCTTAGAGCTTTTTATCTAACATCTTCTGAAACAGCATTATTTCTCCTTGCTGCTACATTCCTCACCTGAGCTTGCTGTGGCTGTATCTGAGGAAGAAGCTTCCTCTGAAAGAGAAGCAGAACAGCAAGCTCCAGCTGGGAATGGAGCAGAGACATGGATTTGACTTTGAATGTTGCTTAGGCATTTTTGTTGTTCCCTTTATTCCAGCTTCTACCCGGAGAGAGTTTTTACGGTGCTACTCTGTTGTGCAAACCGTTCTGTTTTCACACCCAAAGGAAAAAACGACACTGATAGTTTAAACAAGCAATGGGTAGACCGAGGGTGTAGGGGGAGATGCACTCTACTGGACCCATCCTGTGGCTTTGCTGTCATTGCAGAGTTTAAGCATAGGTTTAGGGAATGGAACACTTGAGTCTATTTCTTCTTAAAGGCTTAGAAATTTCTGGTTTTAGAGATGCTGACATCACTGAGAAAAGCAAATTCTTAACGCGCAAGCATTTTCCTAGACAGCTCGTGAAATCTTTGTCTCTGAAGAACTTCTCCCCAAACGAAGCATTGTATGTACATTTTGAAAGGAGCTGGCTTGTAGCTGGAGAGCTGACAGATTCATAGGATCCTGTGATAACTTGAGTAGGACGTGGCTTTTAGGGGCTTCTGTTTGAACCTCCTGCTCAAAGCGGTGTCACACCAAGCTTCTTGGGGCTTTATCCAGTCACATCTTCGGCCTCTCTTGAGGACGAGGCAGTGCGATCTCTCTGGGCAACCTGTTCAGCTCTTCGCTGTCCTTATGAGGAGAAAAGCTTTTCCTTATTTCCAGTTGTCACCATTTAAGGCTGGGCTGGCTCTTAAAATGGGCAGCAGACGCTCTCTGTTAACCCCCTCCCTCCCCCCAGGAGGGGAAAGGACGGAGAAAAGGGAGAGAGACTTAAGGGCTGGAAATTAAAACTACTTTAATAATACAACAATAATGGAAAACAGTATAATGTATTAATGCTGATACTACTAATAATGGAAATAAGAGGAAAAGTATACAAAACCGATACTGAGTGTCCCGAGGATGGTCAGGGGACTGCAGGCCGCAAGGGCTCGCACCGCTGCTGTGGCAGGGTGGGCACCCAGATGTCCCAGACCGGACCCTGCAGCAGACAGGAACCGGATTCAGGAATGCACGGATCAGGGTGGGAGGCAGGAGAGCGAGCAGGATCCCACAGGGATGCCAGCCTGAAGGAAGAGTAACGGACCCTCGTGATCCCTTAGCTTTATACTGAGGATGATGTGGATGAGATGGAATACCTCGTTAGTCAGTTTTTGGTCACCTATCCTGGCTGTACTCTTCTGCAGATGCGACCATTTTATGACTTTTTACTCGCTTAACAAGAGAGGTCCAGCAGTGGCCTTGGTTCTCATAGGGATACGTATAAACATGGACCATTCTGCATACCAATCCTACTGATACTTCAGTAGCAACTATAAACATCGAGCATTATCAAGTCTGAAACACAGACAGTGTCTGAAAAACATGTAGCTGCACTTTCAGAAAGTGCAGTTACTTAGAAGAAACTTAACTGCAAGAAAATCTTCTGAAAGGAGAAAAAGTCCTGTTTTAGCTAAACCAGGACACCAGTCTGAACATCCCTTGATGCCTGTTGTCTGTCATTATCCGACCGTGCACTGCTGTGAAGAGACTAGCTCTGCCTTCATGCCCTCCTTGTAGGTATTAAAAGGCTGCCATGAGGTCTTCACTGAAGCCTTCTCATTTATAGCCTGAACGAACATCTTTCCCTCAGCCTCTCCTCATTAGGCAAGCGCTCCAGCCCCACGAGCTGACTCGTGGCTGTCACGGAGCTTACTTCAGTTTGATGTCTTTCCTGTGCTGGGGCAATGGGGCAGAAGGTAGATGCACTAGCCGCGCTGAACAGGACTAGAGTAACTTCCACCCATCTACTAGCTGTGCTCCTTTTAATACAGTACATGATATTGCCAGCTGCCTTTTCAGCCAGAGCAGACTACTGCCTCACGTTCAGCTTGGTGTGTGTCACCCCCAGACCTCCAGGCCCTTCTTAGCCAATAGGAAATAGTGTTCCCCATCTGGAATATGGACTATATTTGTTAGCAACTGATCAAAATCTCCAGAGGAGAGCGTTAGGTAAATTCTAACTGCTAACGACAAGAGGAAATAAGATGAAAGGAAATGTGTTCTTTTGGATACTTAGGTTATAGAAGCAATCATTACCACTTTCTCTTTTACCAGGAAAATCTGCTGATTGATGAGGAACATAATTTGAAGCTGATAGACTTTGGACTTTGTGCAAAGCCAAAGGTAAGAGTCAGTAATTACTTGGTAGGGCCTTAACTCTGTGAGACAGCTGTTAACTGCATGTTATGACCAGACTGTTAGATAATTTTCAACTCTTACGCATCTTTTAGCGTAATCTAAGGCAGAGATCATCTTGTATATATAGCACCTGCTATCATATATAAAGGCTTGTAATATAAAGCCTATGTTAATACACATTTTTCTTGAGTAAGTTTCAGTGGTGTATGTCTTTTTTTATAAGATTTGTTTGTATGTAGAGATTGTGGATCAAATCAAATAGTTTATTCCAGTTACTTTACAAATCCTCTGGTTCCATATGCTTATACTGAGTTGTTTCCTGAGTTTAAAGTTGGTTTCTAAGCTCTGTCTATCTGTCAGCTTACCATGCGAGGTGGTTGCTGTTAGGAAACAATTTAATGGGAAGAAGGTCTTACTGATATAAAGACAGTTACTTATCCTCAGATCTTGACTCTTTTACTTGACTCAAGTTAGCACATCATGCAGGCCATCAAGACTGTTAGACCATCGTCTTGGTGCTACAGTGTCATCTTATTCTGATCTGCTTAGATCAAAGCCTAGACAAAGTAATAACATGGTTTTAATAAGGAAGTATTTTTAGTGTTTTTCATGAAACTATTGCATTAAGTATTGGTATAAATAACTGGCTAGGCTCATGCCCGGTAGCTCTGGGATCACTTCTTCCCAAGTTCCATCTCTCTTTTTGCAGTTGCAAAGGGAAGTATTCTTATCAGAGGAGGACGTACGGAAAAGACTGCTAGGTTAATAGATAAATGAGCAGCTTGGGATCTGAACATTTCTAGGATACTCGTGGTCTTAGACAATTTTTGCTGAGTGAAGCCATATATTGCACCAAAGCAAAATATATGGTGAATGTAGATGCACAGCGGAGGAAAATGAAGCCTCTGAGACCAGCAATATGCCATTGCTAGGAGACTTAAGCTGTGTGAAAGCCAATACTTCTGTGTGATCAGTTTTCTGTGTTATTCTAGGGTGGCCTTGATTACCATCTGAACACATGCTGTGGAAGCCCAGCTTATGCAGCACCAGAGCTGATTCAGGGAAAAGCATATATTGGCTCAGAGGTACGTAGCACAGTTTTGGGTTAGGGTTTCCCCCCCCCCCCCCCCCCATATATTTAAAGATGGTGAGTTTCAGCTATGCTCACTTGGTTTCTCTCTTGAATATCGCTGGATAACATTGCCAAGGTAGTTCTCGGAAGCTGTTTTACTAGCCTCAACAGTCACAGTCGGGGGTAGCACGTAGCACTCTTGGCCATGGATCATGTAGCTATCTAGTTTGTCTCTGACTAGTCCTTCACTATCTCCATTTGTTGCTCCGTATTTTAGTGCCTTATGAAACGGTAACTTAAACTCCTTCCTTCCACTGCACATTCTTTCAAGCAGCAACTTATTCTGTTAATTATCCAACTCTTGTTGCAAATTTTTGTGCAGTCTCTGTGTCTCGTATGCTTTACCAGGCTTGTGTTTAGCTTAAAATTCGTGCATGAAAACTTCCTCTCTTGTGCTGTGCAGTGTAGTAAAATTTGAGAGAAGAAAAAATGTGGAGTTTATCCAGCTTTGATTCCATGTCTAGAACATCAGGACTTGCTACTTGCCTTCATCAATCCATCCAAAATACTGTGACTACAATCCACTCAGACTTGCTAAATTGCTGTGCTGTTGGATGGACTTGGTCTTTTTTCCTTTTACATATATTTGCGTCACAGTCCTTGGCCTGTAACTCCTGCTTTCTTTTTTTGTTTTGTTTTCCATGAAGTCCAGTGCTTTTCAGGCTTCCTTTTTCTTTATGGTTTAAGTGAGAATTATAGTATGAGGCGGCATGAGGCATGTGGACCATGTCGTGCCTATGTAAAGAAGCCGTAGGGCTCTAAAGTTGATTGTAACTGTGCTGACAGCTGTTGTAATCAGTAATACATTACTGTATGAAATCCCTTGTGATGAGTTTGATTTCATTTTTGCCAGTGAAATCCTTGTAGATTGAAGGTAATGCAGCAATTTGGTGACCTAAGGAGAGAATATTGGTTTTACTAGTGCTCTAGCTTGAGTGGATTGAAAATTGAATTTAGGTTGTGTGCTTTCACTTGGAATATAAGAGTTCTGTCCAGAATTAAAAAGCCTACTTTTCAGGAGTTGTCTCCCTTTGGCAAAGCTCGCATACAATATTACCTGCCTCTAAGCCATTTTAGATAGATCAGATTCGTGAACTTCCACTCACTTTTATTTTTTAGGCAGATATTTGGAGCATGGGAGTACTGCTGTATGCTCTGCTGTGTGGCTTTCTCCCCTTTGATGATGACAATGTCATGGCTGTCTACAGGAAGATAATGGTAGGTATTGACTGTGCTAGAATACACTCGGAACAGACATTGCTAAGCATTATGAGAGGCCTTTGCTCTTCTGATGGCAGAACCTGTTGAGCTATGCCTAGGGCAAAAAGGCATATCTGCTGAATTTTGTTACACTTTGCTGTTTTTCCTATCAATATTTTGTGGATTTGTCTCCATCTTTGATCAGCCTTTGCAGTACTGTAGCTTGGTCCTGTAATATGATAGGACACTGAGTTTCAGGAGAAGTATTTTGTTGCTGGTGGACTGTTTTTTTTATATCTGAGCCTTTACCTGGCTTCTCCCTGTATTGTATGAAATAGAATTGCAAATATGTCATTTGATTTACCAAAAATAGTGTTATTAAATATCAGCTATTCTTGTGTCTAGGAAAAGCAGGACTCTGCATCCACTGTTACGCTTTCCTCCCCCAAAATGAGGGGGAAATATAAGACACTGTAGTCAGCAGAAAAAGTTGTGTCAATAGTAAGTAATATAATTCAGTAATTGGTTCTGTTTTCCTATAAACTCCTGGAGCAACTAAACAGCTGCTGTTCCACACCATACACGCACCTCTACCAGCCACTTCTAAGCTGCCATAAAATTTATGTTGATAAAACTTCCAGTAGGTGAGTAGGGTGAGGAGCAGCTGTGTTGGGTAAGGGCTTTGGCTTCTTCTACCCCTCTCTCTCGTTCTCTCACACAGATTCTGTTATGTCTGAAAATACCCCAAAAAAGGCTTCGAGAGTGTTCAAGGACTACTTTGGTAGGAGACAACTGACAGCTGGTCTACACAGGGAGTGTTTTCGGGGTCCATAACAATCAGAGCTCTATAAAATGCAGGATTAGTTTTATCAAACAGCGTGGGTTTATGGTCTGGAATTGGAGTGGACTTGACTACCTTGACAGAAGATCTGTAGGAAGCTCAGTTTGAGGTGCTGGTGGAAAAAGGAAGCAATGGCTAACTGGTCCAAAGAGATTGTGTAAAGGTGCTGCTATTCGGATGAGTCAGCGTTAAAATGATATGACTTCCCTACTTGCGTAATCATAGAATATCTGGAAGAGACCCATAAGGATCATCGAGTCCAACTCCCTGCTCCTCGCAGGACTACCTAAAACTAAACTGTATGACTAAGAGGGTTGTCTAGATAATGTTAGCAAGCATTTGCAATTTTTCAGTAAATTTGCTGTGAAGGGGAATCAGCTAGGTCATGAACCAGACTTGAGCTACCTTCCTCTCTCTGCTTGTGGTGTGAACTGTGTTGTGTACCCATAAGGTTGGTATACATTGGGAACTTGTCCATTTATAAGAACACTTCTGTAGGATGACAGAAATTCCTTTATGCTGGTCATTACTCCAAGATGAGAACCTGGTAAATGATATAACTGCTTATGGTATTCATTCTCTTAAACTTGTCAATAGTTGAAATATGAACGGAGAGCTTAGTTGTGGAATGGAGATCTTAAGATCACCAAAGAAGATTTCGGCGTAGTTAAGAGTTGTCTAACGTGCACAGGAACTAGGAGCTGAGTTGTTTGGACTGACAGAATGTGGCCAGTGAAACTTGTTTAGGTGAACTGAGATGACTAAGTTTTAAAATGTAGTCTGGGTGCAGTCAAAAACCGATAGTGTCACAGGTGTTAAATGTAGGCTTGCGATTTCCACTCTGAGTTTGTTTAATTTTATGTGGTTGTGAACTGAAAATTACTTGAAATGAGGACACTTACAGACTATTGTGGAACTGAATTTCACTTTATAGATCCTGAAATTTATTGTAATCTCAGCTCAGAGCGGTTTTTCCAACTCAATGTAATAATCTGCTGCTTGAATCTATTTAGGATATTCAAGCATGCAAGGTTTCTTTCCCTGGAATGCTCCATGTCTCCTCATTTGGGAATAGTTGAATAAATGCCTTTACTTGTTGAATGCAAAATGCATCTGGTAGCTATTGCAAGCTATTTACCTTCCAGCATTGCCCTCAGTCAGGAAGATACTAATTTTGTTTTTCCTTGTCTCATGTCCTGTGGCAACGCAGATTACGTGTGATATTTGACTTGGCTTAGTTTCAGAGTAAAGCTGCATTGTGAAACAGCCTACAAACCATTTATAACTAACTCATTAGTAGTGTCTTTGAAGATGTAACTTAAATTCTTTAACCTGTGATGTCAAAGCAATACATACTTTGCTTAGAAATGTAAGTTGCATATAATGCCAACTGTTTTGTTATCGAGCCATTTCTTTGTAGAAAGAAAACTGCCATGACAAATTGATAGCTATGTTGTTTCACAATGGCTATTTGCTGATTTTTATTTATTTTTTCTCCATTTTCATTGAGAAGTAAATGATCATTGATGGTGAATTTAGTTTGGTTTTTAGCTACTGTTGTTGTACCTCAAATCCGAAAGCCATTTTCAATTTTCTTCTAATTCAGAATAAAAAAATAAAAAAAAAAACAGTAAATAATTTGATTGAAAGAAACTTACCTGTTAGATCTGTAAACTTTTTCCTGGCTGTAGTATGAGTAGAGATTGAAACTCTAGCATTAGGTGTAACCTATTAAAAAAAGAAATAGATAAAAGTTGAGGATGGTCTTAGTGTCTGAAAAATAGTGATTTCAATTAATGCTCACATTTCAAAATGCTAGTATCAGTCATTCAAGCTCCAACATGTTTGCACCTCTAAAACTCTAGTATCAAGTTGATATGATGAAACAATGTAATAGATAAGGAGCAGATTAACTGCAAAAGTGAACTGAGACTAAAATGTCACAAGCTGAGAGGGTGAACATTGCAGCTGATTAATTCAAACGGATACAGCTGGGTTTTAGTACTGCCATTAAATTTATTCAAGTCATTCTTAAATATAAGTTTGCACGTGCCTGCTGTTCTTCCTTTTTGACTGAATACAGAAGTCACTATCATCCAAGTTTCTTAGCAATTCCTTTTGAGCTAGCTATTCAAGGTTCATTCTAAATCCTCTTCTTTTCTGCAGAGAGGAAAATATGTTACTCCAAAGTGGCTCTCTCCTAGCAGTACGCTACTGCTTAACCAAATGCTGCAGGTAAAGATATTGTTTCTATTCAATAGATTTATAAAGTGCTATTGCATGGATCAAAACATTACGTTGATGAAATACTTTAAAAATATTGACTGTTTAAACAACAAGTTTAATTATTACAAATTTTTAAAGATAAGTTTAATATTGCCTTCTGCTGAAAATTTTTTGGGAAGAATTATTTGGTATAGAAGTAATTAAGCAAAGTTTAAATGGTTAAACAAAGTCTTCAAGCAGCCTGCATTTGGTTGTTCTTAATAGAGCTATGTAAATAAAAGCTGTTTTATAAATGAAGCTGAACATACTGAATATGTATTTGGGCTACATCTAAGCAATCTAGCCAATGCTAAATATTCCTGGAACATTTATTGTGAGTACTCTTCACAGCTCGCCTATTTGACTTTCCTTTCGGTGAAGCTATGAAAGAGTATCGGTTTCTGTTTGAGCTTCTAACCACCCTAAAATTCTGAGTAGAAGACAAATTGTTTCTTCAGTTCTTCTCAATGACTTTGGATCGGCTTGGTTTTTGTTGCTCACTAGGTGGACCCAAAGAAGCGGATTATGGTTAAACATCTGTTAAGTCACCCTTGGCTCATGCAAGGTTATTCTGATGCTGTTCAGTGGCAAAGTAAATACCCAGTAAGTACAATTGTCAGATGAATGCTAAAGTATTTAATGTAACCTTTAGTGGCATACTAACATCCTCACAGTATGGGGGTGTGAAGACATTTCTCCGAAGATGAACGATGAGATAGCCATGGGTCCTTTCTGATTCTTCTTGCTGTCGAAACGTTATTACTTTCTCTCAATTTCTCTTGAGGAGGAATTTCAAATGTGTTTTCATTGCATTCTGCAGCTGATGCTTACTTTGCAAAATAACTGAGTTCTCATGAAAATGTGAAATACTTCCACATATGAATGACTGGTTGATTCTCCAGGCTGCTTGGTCAATACTCTGTTTAAGGTGCAAAATGCAAATGTTCTGGAGAGCATGTTAGACATGATTATGGTGTATCTTGTATCTAGTCCTCACTGAAAATTGCTAGTTGCAATACACACTTGACCTCATTGCAGGTCTATTCGTTCTGTCTCTCTATCACTTGTTTTACTTGTGTGAGAGACTAAGGTAGTATGGAGAGGAGGAAAAAAAAAAATCTAGCTGTCAATAGCAAGTACTGAGAAGTTCCTGCATGTTTGCAGCCAGTGCTTCCCATTGGCCACTGGATGCCAGTGTTTCTCTAGATAAAGAACAGCTTTACTGTGCTATCAGCATCAAGTTTAACGGGCTTTAGAAAAGGTGTGCATGTCTGATAGCTTTGAATATTTATGGAGAGATGAAAGTGTAGTTTCCATTCTAGTAAAAATCTCATCTGCTGTCAGGCTTTCTTATTTGAATTCACAACCTCTCACCAAGGAGGGGTCAGACTGTGAGGTTATTGAAGTTGTATGACTTTTTCAGTCTGTTCTCTACAATATTTAGCTGCGATGCTAACTATTTAAAATAAAAGGTCTAAAATCATGGTTGATTATTGTCTCAGCCCACTGGGTTTCATGACAGTGTCAGTCAGATATGGATTGAGACAACTTGAAAGCCTCATGCTTTGTGTTTATGTTCTTGCAGCTAGGACATCTTGATGAAGACTGCGTAACAGAGCTTTCTGTGTTTCATAACCAGAGCAGAGAGAGTATATTGGAATTAATATCAGAGGTAAGAAGTATGTAACAGTAATTTACAGTAATTAAACACAGTAATACAATAAATAAACTTACTGTATTATCAGGCTAATGCTGACTTATTCTCAAGTATGAGATTTTTAATACTTTTGAGATTTAACGAGGCCCTGCAGAAGTCCAGAATCTAGCTGTAGCTTATAACTACAGTTCTGAAAGTTCAAATTTGCTTTTTTTCCTTGCCCTCCTTTAATTGTGCTCATGATGTTTCCTAAACTTTACTCTTATTTTCCACTATGGTAAAATCCTTCTGAATCTCTTAAAGTGAAAACAGACTTACAGAATTCTATAGTTGAACAACAGGTGCTACTTGATGGGTTAACTCTTTGCTTTTCGAACAGTTCAATAAATAAGGTTTAAAAAAAAAAACAGAGCAAGAGAAAAATATCACAGCATCACCCAGACAGACTGGAAAAAATACATTTTTTTGGAGTTACTATTCAGTTTTTTAAAAAAGTGAGTATGTTTATTCACTTTTGAATACAAATGACAAAAGTTGAACGGACTACTTCCAGAAGAATTGTACAAATGTTAGCAATGACGTTGCAGGCTGCAGAAGAGACATAAAGCATGGTGCGTACTCCAGCCTTAACCTGAATCTGAAAATTCTTCCTTGAAATTGAATTTTTTGCTTCTTTGTACATGGTAGCGGTGACACAGTTCTTCACTTTGGAAAAAACAGTTAGGTTTTCCATGTAACTGTAGTAGAAACAGACTTTTAAAATGTGTGTGATACTTAAGACGGATTTGTGGAGTTAATGCTACTTATTCTTCAGTTATAGGCAATAATCTGAATAATCTGTCTACACAGGTAAAAATCCTTCCAAATAGGTTTGTGGCATTTACATAGTCCTTTACTGGAGGACTTCTAATCCCTTATAACTAATTCAAACTAACTGTACTATGCTGCAAACCTGTCAAGCATTGTACCCGTGGTCCTCACACAAACAGAGCTGCTGAAAATCATGCAAAAAGTTGGTACTGCTCGTGGGGGAAGAATGGGGGCAGACTACCAAAAGAATTGAGACTCTGGTTGAAATATTGGCTAAACTGAATTGAGAGCTTTGCCGTTCACTTCAGTAGATAGATTCTGGCCCCAGCATTAGTTTTCACACTAGAGAGCGTACTACAAACTAACATGCCAAGAGCAATAACCATAGTCTGTTTCTTGACCTCAAACACATAACATGAATCAACTGAAGTCTGAAATTACACGTAGGTGATTAAATATTAGGGATGCTCATTTGTAGAAAAACCTGCAGAATTTCTCAGAAGGCCGAGCTTGCTTTGTACTTACAGTGTTTCCAAAAAGGAGTTTAAAATACTTTTTTTTTCCGCCCCCGCAGTGGAAGTATGACCAAATGTCAGCAACATATCTCTTGCTTCAATCTAAGAAGGCTCGTGGCAAGCGTATTCGCTTAAGGGTTCCATGTCGAACAAGGCATGCCAGTACAACACCATCAGCAGGCCTTGAGGTAAGCTTTCGAATTCAACAGGACAACATACGGATTAAAATGCTTCTTTGCATTAACAAAGCTCTGCCTGGAAAAACCGACTGATACCCTAAACATCAGTAAGAGAGCATGTGTGCGGTCAGCCAAAGTCTTGGTCATTAAACAGCTCAGTCTCCCCATTAATATGTTTTAGCAAGCTAGGCTGCTTCTATGAATTGACATTAGTGGAATAACTATCTAGGAGGACATGGTGTGTTATAAATACTAGACAGAAACTCTCCTTGGCTACTCGTGGAAATGGACTAAAATTGCCCATTCTCTGGCCTACGTGATCATTCCACATTTTCCTCTGTGACACCTAACTTCTTACTGCACTCTTTCACATCTTTGTCTAAATATTTTTGTACCTTGCTGGTTGTATTTAACATGGCTGAGTAAGGAAAATCTTCTGAAACATTTTGGCATGTCATTTGGGCAGCCTGCTTTGAGATGACATGGATACTACATGAGCTTATGATCAAAGCAGAGACCCATTCCTTCATCATCTGTTTCCTTTCAGAACACAATTCCAGAGAGGACTCTGTTTATTTTGAGTAAAGCAAACATGTTGCTGATGTTTTTCTGATGAACTGGATTCTCAAGCAGTTTTGTCTGTCTTACAGTAATTTCTGTTCCTGTAGTTTGGCAGCAAACTGCAAATAGGGCACTTCAGAACTTGTCTAAAGTTGCTAAATTGCTTGCAATATCATATATAATATGCAGCTATATGTGATGTCTCTGATACTTACCTGAGTTTGACAAACTCAAAAGCTTTCAGTAAAATTGCAGACTTGTTATTAGGCATTCTCCCTTGTTCTTCAGACATCTGTGTAAAGTTGTTAACTAGCTATCCAAATATGCTATTCTCCACATAGACACAAGCACTCAGAATACCTACTTTCTTATGCATCTGATTCAATTGCATGTAAATTATTTCAATTCACTTATACAACTGCTTTGAAACACAGATGAGAATTCTAAGATTAGCAGTGCTGCATAACAGATCATGAATCATAAGTGTTGCCGAATATGCATAATGTGATTTCCATGATCACGGTGGGTTAGTCTTCTATACTCAGATGATGGCAAGGTGGAGGTTCTCTAGGTTCAGTAGTGCTGATGCTATGAAGTTACTTCATCGCTAGTGGTGTCCTAGGTAAATTGATCTGCCTAATGCTACTGTTTAACATATGCATTAAGCCTTCACAGGTGTGAAAATCACGTCTACGCAACAATCCATTAGTCCTTCTACCGTGCTCAGGACACATTTAACTTACCTGCATGCAGATACTGTGAGTGAATATCAACTGAATTTGCTGAAATACCCAACTAGCAAAGCTCTCTAGCTAGAGGTGGTCTAATGTGAAGACAACCACATAAACAGAACCTTTAACTTAGCCAGTTTCTGAATTTGGTGCCACAAGCTTCTACATAATACTGCCTTATTTCAAGTAGTTTGACGTAGAAGGATATTCCAAAAAATTTACCGTGGCATGAGTTTCGTCTGGAACATGGTAGCCAAGGAATCCTATTCAGGTATTCATATTCTAATGGAACGTGATTTCAACTACAATATTGGGCTGTTAGCTTCTTGGCTGTAGCTAGCAGCTGTCTAGTACGGGCTTTTTAGTAAGTCATCATAGTAAGTCTAGTAGCATACAAGGAAGCTTTGTTTCTATTTCAGTAGTAATGAGGCAACTGATCATTGCAAGATCCTTGATCATAGGCCAAGGGAAACTTAACTTCCAGCAGAACATAGGTTTGTAAAATGGTATCCATTCTAGCTGAAGACTGATAAACTAAAAAAACTGTATGCAATTTCACTGAAGTGGTATGAAAGAAGTCCTTAGGAAGAGTTTCCTGAAAATAACAAAAGGCATTAAAAACTAAAGGTATTGTGATAGACATCTAATTGTATGTGGTGTGAGCCATGAAGGTTAGCAATCTCTGCTGCAGTTACAAATCCTGTGATTTAATAAATGACAATTTTTTTCAGGGCTAGCTAGTTAGATCATAGAACCATAGAATGATTTGGTTGGAAGAGGCCTTAAAGACCATGTAGTTCCAAACCCCCTGCCACGGGCAGGGACACCTTCTACCAGATCAGGTTGCCCAAAGCCCCATCCAGCCTGGCCTTGAACAATTCCAGGGATGGGGCAGTCAC